CCATCCACAATACGTCCCCCATACTAAAACCATATCGATAGTGACCCACACACTAAATTGAAGACATTTTGGGGTCCACACTGAACCAAGACATCCCACACTAAAACCAAGACGCGGGGCAAAAAAACAACAGAGTAGGGCCCGAATCCCCCCCCCCCTACTCAGCGACCCACATCGCGCCCCCCTATACTCAAAGCAGTATAATAGTGGCCCCACACTAAAACCAAGACACCTGGGGGCAGAAAAAGTGTCGGTTGGTGTCGGTGGGCCCAGCGCACCCTGGGGTATCCGTACTTGGCCCGGCGGAATAGCCAGCGCAGCCTCCACTATAATTGCAATGCGGTGGCCCACTGAAAGCTCGCCGCCCTTGGGGCGATGTGGGGGGGTACTTGGGGGCATATCCATCGTTTGCATAGTGTGAGGGGGGTGGTAATCACGACTGATCTCACGAATTCTACAAAAATTCTCAAAAAAAAATCTCAAAACAGGCCAAAATGGGCATATTTTGACCTAATTTCAGTGTATAGCACGGTCTTCGTTTTTTTTTTTCAGTCAGCTTTGCATATGCATGTGTCTTGCCTTTCTAACGCACCCAGCCAAAGGCTAAACGTTGACGTGTAAGTATCTTTACTACTACACGCACATAACAGACCAGACTTGTGATACAGAGGAGGAAGTATATAGACTGTTTATAACCTTGGGAGACCATGTTCTACGCAAGCAACTGTTTTGCGGGCCCTTGTTTTGATGATGCAGTAGGTGTTAGGGCTGTTGTGCTCGCAAAACCCACGCACTCGGGGCTCAAGCCTCACTCAGCTCCACCACCATAACAATCCTGTATCATATCTATGTTATCATGTGTTGCATCGGTTGAACCCAACCTACTGTTCTAAGGTACTTCCGACAGGTGAACGTACATGACATAGATATTATGTACACGTATACACCGCTGTATGCACAGCAGACAGCCGTAACCCCCCCCCCCAGTGAATCATGTAGAAGTTGCGACACGAGGCCAGAAGATGGTGCAGCATTCTGTGTGCACGCACGCACCGAAAGCCATCCAAATGTGCACAACGACCCATAGTTAAATGCTGCAGATACATGTTTGCTTGCCGATGTAACACCTAACACACCTTTCTTTGGCGGTGTGGTACTGTAGTAGACTCTTCGCACGTAGTGTACTCTTCGCGCGTAGTGTTGCCATCGTGCAGCAGTAGAGCACAGTAAAAGCATGGCGTTCAAAATGTTAAGGTTGTGGCCCAATTTATTTTCGCTGCGTACATCACCATCAATCGGTGCAGACGTGGACCGGCAACTTTGTCTGGGGGCGCGTCCAACACTTGCGTTCTGTGTTTCTACACGACGCACTGCCCCCTTCCCCCCCGTTGACAAGAACACTGGGTAACGGGCGTTCACGGTGTNTATTTTCGCTGCGTACATCACCACTAATCGGTGGAGACGTGGACCGGCAACTATGTCTGGGGGCGCGTCCAACACTTGCGTTCTGTGTTTCTACACGACGCACTGTCCCTTCCCCCCCCATTGACAAGAACACGTTTGGGTTACGGGCGTTTACGGTGGATTAGTTATTCGGTAGCGAATCTGTCTGTTGGGGTGAAGGGCCACTTCCGCAAACGCTCTTCGTCGCGATTATCGTGAGAAGCGGTATCGTGAGAAGTGGTTTGCAGGTAGGTGCGTGCGCATGGCTGAAGATAGCCGTCCTTGNAAGACACGTATGGGTAACAGGCGTTTACGGTGGATTAGTTATTCGGTTGCGAATCTTGTCTGTTGGGGTGAAGGGCCACTTCCGCAAACGCTCTCCGTCGCGATTATCGTGAGAAGCAGTTTGCAGGTACATGCGTGCGCATGGCTGACGATAACCGTCCTTCACAATAGCTTCCTCTTGGGGCTCGACGGTTCTACCCATTTTTCAAGCCAAGTCGAAGTCATGTGCGTGCGTGGTTGTCGAATTTCGCTGTTCATCTCTGTTTGTTGTGCATGGCATTTTGGAAACTGGCACGCGAAATTAGGCGCTACAACACGCGCCCCGCCGTCGCGGGTGCTTTACGCAAAGCTGCACACACATTTGACCTCGTGCACCCTGCCATTCACGGACCACAGCGTCGTATTTGACTCCGACAACGTGCGACGAAGAAATTCAAAGGCCCAAGTTAAACAAGACGAGTCGAACCACTTGAGCTACGAGTCGAACCACTTGAGCTACGACAGGTCGATGGAGCCTTGGGATTGACTCAGCATAGCGCCTGACCTGGCCCCCGCCCCCGCTGCGTGGTCGAGGCCGGAAGCGCCTTGTGAGCCGTAACGCTGAACCGCGAGCCGCCCCCACAACCTCCCGGTGGGTCGCTCGCCCGCGGAACCTCCGACGTTGAGGTCTCCAACGTGGCTGCGAACACTGCCCATCCCATGTACCGGGACGGGCTCAGAGTTGCCGCCCCCGCCNAGTTGTCGTTGCGACCAGGGAATCGGGAACGCTGCCGGGGGCCACGGTTCTTCTTCGGAGCACCAGCTTGCCGGGTCACCTGCCGCGGGGGCAGGAGGTCGCCCTTGGAAAGCTCTGACCAGATCGTAAGTACGACGAGATAGTCGGGGTGGCTGTGGAGCACCCTGTAGGAAGCCAGGGTGTACCCGCTATCAATAAGCGCCCTCGTGCAGTCAAGCCTGTCGATTGCTGTCACGGCATCGGGAAGAGGCGGATTGGGCCAAGAGTCGTCAAAGAGCGGTCAATTAATTGTACTCGAGCGTCGTATTTTTTGTTTTCTTTGGTTTGTCACCCTCCCTCATCCCGCTATTGCCCGCGCCAAGTCCTCCCCGGTGCGAACGGAAGACCGAAACGATCCCACTGCGGAGGAAAGGAGCCCGAAAGCATGCAATGAAACAAGAAGGAAGAGACGACCTGGAAGAGAACCCTGCTCTTCCAGAAGGAATAGTGAGCTAGCAAAAAAAAAANTGCTGTCACGGCATCGGGAAGAGGCGGATTGGGCCAAGAGTCGTCAAAGAGCGGTCAATTAATTGTACTCGAGCGTCGTATTTTTTGTTTTCTTTGGTTTGTCACCCTCCCTCATCCCGCTATTGCCCGCGCCAAGTCCTCCCCGGTGCGAACGGAAGACCGAAACGATCCCACTGCGGAGGAAAGGAGCCCGAAAGCATGCAATGAAACAAGAAGGAAGAGACGACCTGGAAGAGAACCCTGCTCTTCCAGAAGGAATAGTGAGCTAGCAAAAAAAAAAAAGCAGTGAGAATATTTGCGAGGAGTAGTGGACACAAAGACAATGATAGAAGGGCCATGTTAGAACAAGCAAAACACGGACGGAGTCAAAACGGACTGCATTCAAAGCAGGAACGGCGGTTGCTTGGGTTTCTCGTCATAAGCTCCCAGGTCACCGTGTCATGGATGCCCAAATTAGCCTTGCCTTTCCTACGACGCCTCCACGTGGGTTCCCTTCACAGAACACAGCCGTTAGAAGGGTACTTGTGGGTTCCCTTCACAGAACATGGCCGTTAGAAGGGTACTCGTGCTGCCGGACATGGATGTGTGACCGGTGCTACGGATATGGGCAAATACACCAACCGACCGAGGGGCCCGATCACCACAACATGTGTTCGCTAAGTTGTGTGAAAACCAGGGCTGTTTTCATCCATCTTTTTTTTGTCTTATCCTCGAGCTCAGTTTAGTTAACATCCGACGTAGCGACGTGTTTTCGGCAAGGCATGAATCCCGTGCTTCTAGCAAAGCATCATTGAACAATACCAACGAGGGGATGTTTGTCCAAGAGCTCACACTCCTCCCAAGCAGTGGTAACACGCTCATCAACCTCTGCCTACCTACATGGAAATTCATCGAGAGGGGGTGGGTGCTGAATAGCGTGGTGACAAATGGCATGCACAGGCAGACGGAATCCCACTTCATTCTACGAGAACCTCGTTCACAGCCAACGGTGACCTTGTGCCATAGGCAACAGAAAGAAGGGCCAAGAAAGAACAACTTCGAGCGACAGATGACCAGAGGAAAACCCAGCGACGAGATACGAGGATCTGCAATGTAGATTGTATGAGGTCGCACATTGCACGTGAGCTGCGAGAATAAAACATACAGAATGCACACGGATCACAGACGGCCAACAGAGGACATCAACCCGAAGATCGAATAACCCAACAATTAATTGCGATCCATGTTTTCAACCCGATGGAGGAGGCATACATTTCAACACCGCGAGGGCGTCCTGGCACAGGAGGTGGAACCTGGTAGGGACTCTGCAGGTGCACTTGACGCAGCCACCCTTCCCTTCCGTGTCCGGCAGCACGATTGTCACCCTGTTGCCGTACTGGCTCTTGCCGTGCTCCTGAACAAGGTAGGTGCCCAAGCCCATGCTCTTGACGTGCTTGCTGCCGACGAGTGGGGCCAACGCCATGAACCAAAGAAGGAAGAGAAGAAAGCAGACGAAAACTGAGTTTGTGCCGTCGACGAAAGACAGGTGTCATTCTCTGGTTGTTAAGAGTGCACTACACACAAAACGACAGCCGAAACGGACGAATAAATCATGGACTCAAAAAGAGAGAGACAGCACGGGTGGATCACCCAACCGACGGGGTCGTACTACACCCAACCGACCACGCAGCCGTGGAATTAACGGAGGAAAGAACAAGGAACGCACCAGGTGTGGTTGCCCCGGTACTTACTTAAGACTGAGCAACCTCTCGTCCTCCATGAACTTGGCCGCGAATGGAACGAGGATGGCATGGAAGTCCTTCAGCAGTTCGGCATTCGTTGCGAGTTGCTCCGCAGTTTTCTCCTCAATCTCGATGTGGAAATGATAAGCATTTCCCGTTTCTGCGAGCAACAAACGTCAACAACGGAAAAGGGACACATCAACGATTCAGACGCTGACGACATAAAAAGGGACACCATAAAAAGCTTGTGACCGCACACACTGGTGCGTAGAGAAGGAAATCACAACACACAGACAAGTGGCAGTTGAAGAGTCGGGACGGCAGGATTCCTAACAATAGTAAAATTGGGTAAGAATGTACATGTGTCCTCACGTTTAGCATGGACCCCGCTGACACGCTGACCAACGGGTGACAAGGGATGGGATGGTACATAGTCGCTTCATCTTGGATTCTTTCATGTTGGATCGACCCACTGAAAAAAAAAGCACCTACTAAATACCACTTCGATTACCACCAACATTCACGACACAAGATAACATGCATCAATGAGAAGAAGCGATGGGAATGTCAACAGAGACAAGTCGGAACTACAGTGGTTGGCTCTCCGGGGCTTCACAAAACGCTGGCTCCTGTGTACGCCCACACAGAAACCGACATCTGCCGCTTGACGCTGAGTGAGAGGACATCCTGACGCACCATCTATGAGATCCAGCGAGAAACACTCCTCTTGAAGGGTATAGTGCGTCAATTCGGACCTGCAAAGGCTTTTAAACACATCCACCCCTTTCGTTCACCAACCTGGTGGCCGACCGCGGAAATGGTGGACTCCGCAGAGTTGGAGGTGGACATCTTTAGGTTGACCAGGTTGNCTCCTCTTGAAGGGTATAGTGCGTCAATTCGGACCTGCAAAAGGCTTTTCAACATATCCACCCCTTTCGTTCACCAACCTGGTGGCCGACCGCGGAAATGGTGGACTCCGCAGAGTTGGAGGTGGACATCTTTAGGTTGACCAGGTTGCTGGGGGTGGCATGGTGTGCCCATTTCTCAAGGTCGTTTTTCATGAGGAGGTTGTAGTTGGCCAGGAAGTCCTTCTTGACTGGCTCAATTGCCTCCTCGAACAGGGCCTTGGTAGGCATCACCGCCGCTCGGTAAACCGCCACTGAATAGGCCTGCGTTGCAGCCCGAAACAGGGAAAATTGGGGAGGCGAAACAATAACGAAAGGAGCAAAGAAGAGTTGTGTGTGACCCCGACTGATGAGCTGAACATGTATCTTCACCGAGAGGTGCGTCTGCTGGCGCCATAAAAATGGAACGGGCACAGAAAAACAAGTGCTGGGGAGGCGTTCTTGCCATTGACAGAAGGTCCATCACTCACAACGCAACATCTGTGGCTCAACAACCGTCACACATCCATACTCCCACGCACGCAAGATGAGTTACCTTCTCCTACAAGGGTGCAAAAAATGGGCGGGAACTTTTTCTAGCACAGCAAGTCATGAGCGTTTTTTTGGGGGGGGCGCGGAGGCGGGCCGAGAGTCGTACGTACAGTTTTGGGGCCCTTTGCGCGATGCAAAGAAGCTACAGTTCATAATACTGCACCATCCCTCACACCCTAACACGTGATCCGCTCAAACTACGCGTGAAGCGTCGTCGCAAGTAGCACACGACGTGTCCCCCAATATACGGTACATGCGGTTTGCAAGAAATGGGCTGAAATTCCAACGACGAGGAAATATTGTAGCAAAGAAGAACTTTCCGGCTCTCTGAGGGGGTGATGGTCAAGTTTTCAAGTTGGGCCAGTGCCTCATCGTGTGCACCTGGACTCCACCAGCAGGGAAATGTTCTATTGGCTGTCCGATACTAAAAGCATTTATAAAGGTTGCTATGCGCGACGACATTCAGCGAAACTCTTGATCATTTCATTTGGAAAATACCAAAACAAAGGTCACTATTCCCCAAATTCTACTCACGTGTCCCATTGCCTTCATGTTTTTGTTGGTGATGAGGTGCCTCACGCACGCACGCCATAGCGCTTGCGGTAGAACCGCCCTGAGGGCCGCCGGTGATCCTTTGTGACCGTCGATGAAGAACGTCACCTCGCCGGACGAAAGAAGTCGATGCATGTGCTCGTTCCGGCAGGTCTGCTGGAGCAGGAACTTCTAGTTCGTCGCGTTCTCCTTGTCTGCGAGTACAGTGCTGACGTGGATGATCTTGTTATTGCTGTCGTGCATGCAGTGGACGTACATGACTCCCTTCCACGAACCCTTGAGGTGGCCAGCGTCCATGGCCACCATCTGTTCAGAACGGCAGGGGCGGAGAATTGGGTATTTCGTAAGGGCACGATCAAACGGTTCTACTTGCTGGGAGGTCTCGTAAGGCCCTGCTTGCGTTGCTGTCAGAATGTTGTTTGGGCTCGCCCTCTCTGAATCCCATCAACTGTTTGGGACGCGGGCGCCCATCAACCTGCGAAGCAATGCCGACACGTACAGTTCCAGAAATGCGCTGTAATCGAAGCAAGGCGAGAGAAGGGCGAGAGCTGGAGCAACATGTCATCATACGACGTAGTCTCGGATTCGTGCAAAGGGACGG